ATGCTCATGTTTCGCACTTGCGCAAAAACTGGTGGGCGGTAAGGAAAGTTTTCCATCAAGAAAGATCCATTAGTGGGCAGTAAATAGAAAAAGGTTGACTACCACTGGTCTAGATGAAAAAGTGCAGTTTGTTTACGCAGACTCTACAGTTCAATGTGTATTTGGGTGATAATTGGGCAGTGAGAGTGACTGGAAGGCAGCCTGACATGTGGGAGATAAACAATGATGGAAAGAAGTATGCAAGATTAAAATAAATCCGTATTATTAACATTACCAATTTTTCTTAATTGAGTGTTATGTCCATTGCAATTGTCAAATAATAACAGCAAAACAAAATATAGAAACAGTAGAAACTTCTTGAAAAGTGGGAACTTTCATGATTGATCACTCAATATTAATATCAACATTCAATACATTCGAAACACAGTTGCCAACTTGACAGTATCCTATTCCAAGTTTATGTGAGTGAAAAAAATGATCCCCAGGTAAGATTCTGTATTGATCCCTGGGTTTTGTTATTTCGGAATTATACAAACCACAGAACTTAACATGCAACATTAATATTGCACTTTCTGAGTCAAAATGCATGCTTCTGCAAGAAAGGAGATCCCTATAAAGTGCATTCTGAGGATCTGCCTTAAGCGGCATTACTACTCCAGTATAAAACACAATACAAAGTGACCGTTCAGAGGGTCTCTTGCAGCGGGGTGGCTTGATAATGGATGAATCGATGGACGGAAGGAAATAAGCAAAAGCTAGGCCAATTTGGACTTAGTCCATCTCTCCCTTCCAGCCTCCCTCAGTTCCTTCCGCAGCGCCCTTTACATGCACAACACAACCGGAGCTCCACGGAAAACAGAGGCATCTGCGCCGAACCCTCTCTATGATCCTCTAAGGAAGACGGAGTGTCCCGCCTCCTCCAAGGAGATTGGTGGGATCGGATCGCTGTACTGTTTCCTGATTGGCCCTTAGGAGAAGCGAACCTTACTCCTCTATCCGGTTCGGCCAAGGTAGGTAGGTGGGTGGGTGGGAATTGGCTGCTGGCGGGGTGGGAGGTAGACGGGCCGGTCGGACCGGCGACGGACGCTGCGGGCTTAGCCGTCCCTTCCGCGAACAGGAGGCCCGGCGGAGGCCGGCTGGGTAGCTGAGTGAGTGCGGGAGCAATCCCGCGATTTGGGGAGGGGGATTCGGGTGGCCAAAGGCCTCGCCTTCCCCACCCCCTTGCAGCCGGGCCTCCCTCTGCATTGATTGCCAAGGGAAGCGGAGGCTGGTGCATCTGTTCGGGGAGGGAGGCGTATGGTGGAGGGGCGTCCTTGGATGTCAGGAGCAGCAACACCTTTGGAAAATACCCAATGCAGGCCAGGAGCTCATCCCTTGTGAAAGAGCGAACGGGAGGCAGAGGAAAGGCATGAACGTGACTTTCGTCCTAAGGAGCCTTTTTGGTTTAAATATTTTTTTTTTAAATGGGAGATTCAGGAGAATATTTTTATTTGAATATTGAAGGCTAGTGTCTCTGTTAATTTGCGGAATATTTCCAGAGTTTGGTGTGGTCTGTCTTTCCCCACCCCATAGTTCTCCTGTAACAAAATAATTACAGGACAAGTGAAAAGGGTTCTCCAAAAATGTAAACACTGTCAACTATTATTTTGCAGCTTTGGAGGTTGCTGTCCAAGATGGCACTTTCTCTTCCCCCACAACACGTGTGTGCTTTGGTTAGCAAAAAGATTTGCAGCTTAAAATAGATAGCAACCCCCCCCCCAAAAANTGTAACCAGGCCTGAAACCAGACTGAAAGGAATCCAGATAATCTTTCTTACTAAGACAACACTCCACTCCCTGCCCAACGACCAACAAAAGGCCCACGGAGCTGCTGATGGGTTGGCGCCTGTGAACCCTGCTGGTAAAGCTTCATCCGCTCTATTCAGGGGAGCAGCCATGCAACCTGGGGGCTCCCCCCTGCTCTTTTCGGGTGGGGGATTTGGTTTGGGCCCGCTCCTTCTCGGGGGACGCTAAGTGGGTGGCCACCTCTATTCTGTCCGTAACCAGTCCCTGTTCTTATAGGGTCAGACTGGCCGATGGATCCGAGTGGAGGCGCCACGTGGATCAGTTTAGGAGGCATCTCCCACCCGAGACCTGTGCTCCCACTGATCCAGGGGTCCTGGGCACCACTGCCCTCCAGCCGGTCAACGAATTCCAGTTCGAGGCCTTTCCCCAGGCAGGCCTCTCCTCTCCAGACGTTGCAGGTGTTCCACCTGCCCATCCTGTTCCTCAAGCTGAGTTCGCGTTCTTGGATTCAAACATTCAGGCCTTCCCGCAGTCAGGCCTCACCTGCCTGGACGCCACATGCTGGCCGTCATCTCCACCCCCATCTCAATCTGTTCCGCTTCCTCCCTCTGGTTTCCAAAGCCTTGGTCAATCAGCCGCCGCCTACCGGCACTTTGACTCCACCCTTGAAGTCGCGCCTCCTTGGCCGAGCCTACCTGCAGTGTTGCGCCCGCCTTCTGGGCTGGTCCAAGATGGCGTCACTCGAAGCTCCACTCCCTTTGGGGAGGAGCTACCATGAGCACGACTCACCCCTCCGACGACTCCTGTAGAACTGAGACATTCTGGGCGGGTCTGGTGCCACCCTGCCTACTTGGCCGAATACACATGCTCCAACTCTGCACATGTGCTCTATCTGGGGGGGAAGGGGTGTTGAGGACTCAGAAAGTCCTTGGCAACTAGCCAAGCCGCGCCCTGATTGGCTAAGGCACGGCTTGGCTAAGTGCGGGCCGCTAGGGGCGCGTTTATTGGCTTTCCCTGCTTGACAGCTCCATATAAATAGCTGTCAAGCAGGGAAGGTGCTGAATCGCCTGTAAATAGTTCTGACCTGTTAATAAACTCTTCTGCGTTCTTGAGTCCTGGCTCCTGTCTCGTCCTTCTGCCGATCCACTAAAACAGGGTAGCTGTGAGGGAAGAGAAGGATGCTTTCACTATAAGTCACCTTTAAACTGCTGGAGGAAAGGTGGCATATACAGTATGTGTAACAAACAATAACTACTCTTTTAGCATACTTTTGAATATCTTAATTAGGGGATAATATTTACTAATGAGAAATGTTAAAAATACATCACCAGAGTTGTGTAAATGAAGGTTCAATTATCCATGCCAAAAGTATTTGAAAAGCCTAAATCATGGCAACTGGACCAAAGTTTCACCAGAGGATAATGTTTCAAGGAAATCTCAAATATGTTATGAAAAATAAATATTATTCTGATGAGGGTAGGGAGAGAAATCTGATTACTTAAATATGTAAGACTGGTAATTGTTTTGAGATTAATAG